CTGGTACTGGTTCATGGCCCAGGGCTTGGGGATAGGGGTGGGATTCAAAAATTTTAGCAACCAGTTATCTGCCCAGTTGCTGGTTGGGCATGGCCATGGTGGGTGTGACCTACTCGGCTTCCTGCACCACAGTGGGGTGGGTTCCCAGGCTCCAGAGGCTTTCCTCAAGCATCTGGGGGCAGAAACGGCCTCCTCTGGGCTCCGGAGGCCCTCTGGAGTCTGGAAACAGGCCCATTTCCAGACTTCTGGAACTTCTGGGAGGCCCATTTTCAGTGGTGAAATTCAATTTTTTTTACTACCGGTTCTATGGGCGTGGCTTGGGTGTGGTATGGTGTGGCTTGGTGGGTGTGGGTTGGTGGGCGTGGCAGGAAAAGGATACTGGAAAATCTTAATTCCCACCCCACTCTGGGGCCAGCTAGAAGTGGTATTTGCCGGTTCTCCGAACTACTCAAAATTTCCACTACCAGTTCTCCAGACCTCTCAGAACCTGCTGAATTTCACCCCTGCCTGTTTTTCACCCTCCCCAGGCTCCGGAGGCTTTCCTTGAGCCTCCAGAAGGGCGAAAATGGCCTCCCCTGGGCTCCGGAGGCCCTCCAGAACTTCCTGGAGGCCCATTTATTGCCCTCCCAGAGCCTCCACTGGGCCCTGCACTTACCTGGCATCCAAAACAGGCCACGTGAAGACTCCTGGGAGGGGCGGGGTGAGCAGGGCGGGGCCAGCCAGTCCTTGCAACTACTTTGGCGAACCAGATGTAAAATTAGCATCCAGTTTGCCTGAACTGGTCCAAACTGGCTGAATCCCATCCCTGCTTGGGGATCCCTGATCGAAACAACCCACTTCTACCATAAATCATTATAGGAAGGCTGAAGCTTACTTTTCTTTTCCTTCCTGTTTTCTTTCTGTGCTGCATCAGTGTAGATTGTAAGCTTGACAGCAAAAGCTATCTATCCTTACTAGACTGAAATATTGACATGGATATGTGCTTAGTTACTGCCATAACTAAGTTATGTTGGCATCTGTGGGATGAATTAGTTTGGCCTAGTGGTTAAAGTACCAAGCTAGAAACCAGGAGTGTGTGAGTTCTAATCCCACGTCAGGCATGAAAGCTGCTGGGTGAGTTTGGGCCAGTCCTTCCCTCACAACTCAACATACCTCAGGGTTGATATGGAGAAAAATAGGAGGAAGGAGTATTAGTTATGTTTGCTACCTTGATTTATTTATAAAAATAATAAAGCTGGGATAAAAATAAATTAACAAATATATAAATATATTTGTGCTGTACCTATTTATAAGAGGAGTTAGATCATCCAATCTATTCAAAAAGTATGTATACACCAATATGAAAGTATAGGAAGAAATGTTATCGTTTCAAGAGATCCAACAACACATTTTTATGAGACTTCTTGTGAGAATAATATATTCTGTTCCTAGCCCCAACAATGGAAGGCAGTTGGATGAGCAAAAAAACATGGACTAGAGATCATACTCTAGTACTGTCGTCATTTTCGTATCCTTTGTGCTTTAAACACCCACCTAACAAATTCCAGGAATAATGACATAATTTTCTGACCCTTGTTCCTTTAATTTAGTGCCACCATTGAAAATAAGTTAGCTAGGTGCTCCTCCTGAGCTGGAGTCTGGACAAATTGTCCTTTCTTTTGTATTAATTCATAACTCTTCCAAGTACATTCTACTTGATTCATCCTCCAGAACCAACATCAAAATCCCCACCATCATCAGGACAGCTTCAGAAATAACACATTTTCATTCAAATACCCTTGCATCTGCACACCTACATTATCCATTATCTGTTAAAATGAAAAATAATTAAGCACGTGTCTTTTTCAAAATTCATGGTCTAAGTCATGTGGCCTGATGAATACTAGTGGTACAGATGTATAAAGTTATATGGGACAACATATAACAAAGATGGTGATGGGCATCCATTATTCTTTATATGACCTGCATACTTGGGACCCCTCTATCCGGGGGTGGTATTCACTTACTTTCCCTACTGGTTCACAAATATGAGCATGCGCCCATCCACGCATGTGCCTGGCCTTCCGTGCATGCGCATTGCTGACATACATGCCTTCGCGCATGCGCCCGGTCTCAAAAATGTGCCTAAATAGGATGGCATAGGGTGGGTGGGTGGCCACCTGTAATTTTTGCTACTGGTTTGGGCAAACTGGTCTGAACTGGCTGAATACCACCTCTGCCTCTATCTAATACTTCTAAGAAAGTTTATGCTACAAGGTAGCTGCTTGTCTTAAATGAGAATATAATGATTACATATTAAGGTGAACAGCCTTTATACATGGCTGAATTATGTCCAAACAAAAAGTTTATAGAAACTAAACCATGCACAAAATAAGATGCATTAGAAAACCAGCAAAGTCTTCAACATTAGGGAAGAAATGTACTCTTTAATTGGACAAGACAATAGATTATCTTCCCCAAGAAGCAGATTTTCTGCTTTGGCAAAAGGAGACAAGTAAACTACTGTGTAATAACATCTAAACAAATATTTAGAATATATACATTCCACTTAGGTTCTAGAATCCGATGAAGCCCATAACTTGCAAATAAAATTAAGGTGATTTTGCTGGTTTTATTTGAAATTCAGAGTGGTTATTCAAATGGTTACTTAGATCATTTCCCAAATAAGCTCATTCTTTATGTGTTTAATGCTAAGCCTGCATTATTTTAAAGGAAAACTTCTTATTAAAACAATCCTCACATGATCCAGAAACAGATAATCCTTCGGAGGATTAATATCTTCAAGCCATTTCCCGCAAGAGCTTGTCCTGACTAGACAACTTACTAAAGAACTCCAGGGAAGGGAAGAAAACCCTTTTTGAGATCTCCTCTCCTCAGAACAAATCCATGGGCTAAGGCTGATAGGAAGATCAGTTGCAATGTTGTTGCTATGATGGAAGCTTTCCATGATGCACACGGGAAACAAATCTATCCACAGTCTTAATATTAGTGGAGAGTGACTTGTCACCTTCTAAAAGAGCCTGAGAGTTCTGGAACATTATTAGAGATGGCCTTCTATAGAGAGAGAAGGAGAGGGAGAAAGAGGAAGGAAGAAGGAATGTAAGCCTTATAGACTGTTTATGGCACCCACTCAATTTTGCTTGAGGAAGTTGAGTTTGACTTAGGATCACCCAAATGCAGTATCAAAGGAAGACTGAGTCAAAGCTTCTACTGAAAAGAATATAGGATGTAATTGCGTATGTGAAATTCTGTGATCAAGGTCAGCATATAGGGAATTGTCACAATAAGATTAACGTTGTTTTACAACTTCCACAGAGAATATTGTGGGCCAATGCATCATGAGCAGTGATGGCACAGTGATTAGAATGCACTATTGCAGGATAACTCTGCCCACTGCCAGGAGCTCAATCCTGACCGGCTCAAGGTTGACTCAACCTTCCATCGTTCTGAGGTCAGTAAAATGAGGACCCAGATGGTTTGGGGAAATAGGCTGACACTGTAAACCAGCGGTCACCAATTGGTGGTCCGTGGACCACTGGTGGTCCGCGAGAAAATTTTGGTGCTCTGCAGAAAAATGTATTTGCATTTTTTTATATTGCACTAAATCAGGGGTCCTCAAACTACAGCCCCTGGGCTGGATACATGCAATGAATGTTTCTGGTGCTGCAGAGAGTCTCCCACTTCAGAGTCTTTTTGTGTGGGTCGGAGGGGGGCAGAAATTCTGGCTCGCGGTCTGCTTCAGCCTCCTGGTACAGGGCTTTGGGCGAAGGCTGGAGGAAAACTCTGCTAGTGGTGAAGATCCGGAGGGCTTTTTTCCAGTGGGACTGCCTCATGGCCTGGAACTGGCTGACCATCTCAGCCACTGAGCCTCCAGGTGCCGGTACCTGGCCTTGCACTTCCACATGTCTTCCCTCTGCTTGGAAAGCCTATCCTCATAGTCATCAGTGAGGTGCTTCTGCTGAGCCTCCTTTTGGCCAGATCCAATTTGAACTGAGCCAATTCTTTCTCGTAGTGGCAGTTTAGCTCCAACAATTGCTTCCAGTTGGAGCCCTAAGGAGCCCAGGTGTGCAGATGAGGAGTGGCTGGGAGGGGAGGGGAGGGGTGAGTAGAGGCCAATGAGGCACCCCTCGACGCGAGTGACATCGAGTTGGCCATGCCCACCCAGTCACATGACCACTTAGCCATGCCCACCTAGCCAGTCATTAGGCAGATCATATTAGTGGTCCATGGGATTTAAAATTATGAATTTAGTGGTCCTGAGGTCCGAAAGGTTGGTGATCCCTGCTGTAAACCATTTAGAGATGGCTGTAAAGCACTGTGAAGCGGTATGTAAGTCTAAATGCTATTGTTAAGTGCTATTGAAATTACCCAACCCAAGTCTGCCTTGACTTCATTATAATATGCCATCCTGTGGCCATGGGTGGTGTGGCTCAGAGCCAGATGGTGTTTCAATGTTGATGGTGTTGCTATGATGAAATGGTCAGTTGACATTGTCACAGATGTTGGCACAAATTTTATGGTAGGAGTTGTAACAAAACTGTGGCTATGTTGTATTGTAATATTGTTATATTGTAATAATGTAATATCATTATATTGTTACAAAACCTGGTTATGTTCCCCAACCTGGGGTGCTGAATATGTCAAGGGCCCCATTTCCTGGGTTTATTGTTAACTGGTTAAGTATCTCAGCTACTGTGTATATTTACTGTTTTTAAATGTTTTAATGCTTTAGTTGTAATCTATTTTTTGAACTGTAAGCCACCCAGAGTCATTGATTTAGGTGGGCAGCTATAAACATAGAATAAATAAGTAAACAAAGTAAACAAAGTAAGTAAGTAACATACTTACTTACTTACTTACATATACATACATACATACATACATTGACCTTGGTGCCAACTGTCTGTCCTGTACTATCATTAGATATATAGTTCAGGGGAAAAGTATAATGATTATAACCATAAATGGGAATCAAACAGAAAATTCAAAAACGTTGTAACTGCATTGGAAAATACCTTTATTGATATAATGTTCATAATGCACTGTCAGCAAAAATGTAAAATATATATAGCATGGCACAATTAGATTCTCAAACGAAAAAACAGAAAATTGATGGCATGGTATCCCCCCATCAGATCAAACCACAGAATATAATGAAGTGATTGAATTAACAACCTCTAATTATTTGGTTAGATAATAGAATTATTTAATAGAATTCATTTCATATGGCAGTCTTTTCTTTCTTTTTTAATAAGACATTAAGGTACATAAAGTTTAGTTCCAGGTTATATATCCAGCTGGAAAAATAATCATATAGCTCAGATAAACTATATTAATCCATTTGATTTGGGGGGGGAAGGGGAAATATAATCTCTCTCATTACCATTGAAATTGTCAAATTCTCTACTTTGAAATTTGCCCAGAGGACAAAAAGAGAGGCAAGTAGAAGTAAAATAATAGTGGGAATGCACAAAGAAGAAGCATGTTGAAATATTGAGATTAACTCCAGTACTTGACATGATCTGGAGAGGGGTTGGGAAGCATGGGAGGATGGGCTATTGCTATTCATTTTTTTTAAAAAAATGATGCCACATCCTCTTTCATACATGTCTGGATCAGACATTTCTTCCTTTGTGCGTAGAGTGCTACTTAACATTTTTAAAAACCATGCAGGTTCAGGCACTTAGTATATAGTATCTGAAAGATGCTAGTTTGGAGAAAACTAGTTTATAGCAATGGTTACATAGAGTACTAAACTGGCCAGATACATTGCTAAGGAATAAATGTGAAGCTAGCAAACTTTTTTCCTCATAAAATAAAAATTCCAGATTATTAAGATCTGTCACTGGAATTACATACTGCTGTAGTTGTTTTGGATGTCTGATCTGAAAATGCCCACATCTTTTGAAGAAATCATGCTTTGTTTCTTAAACCCAAAATAAAAAAGACTTCTTGCCACTCCTAGCCTGAATTGAAGAGCTGCTGTCACCCAGAGGTCAGGGCACATTCAGAGGCTTACTAGCTACAGTGTTCATGGGTATGTGGCTGTCTCCTCTCACAAGTGGTTGAGAGAGATTCTGAGGATTCTGCATATTACCCATATCGAATTTTACAAGAGAGGTGGGTGGTTCCCGAAGCTCACTTGGTTCCATATTAATGTCCGCAGTTGGTTCTACAAACATGCCACTTGTCCCAGTGTCTGGCTGTCTGAAGCCAGAGGGAGTTGGGTACAATTCGCCTGGAATCTCACTCAGCCCATCAGTGGCTGTGGGGAAGACCTTCTGGATGCCCGCTGCTGTGCCTTCAGGATTGGCCTGGCCCACTGGAAGAAATCCATCTTGACCTTCAGGAGGGGGTTCAGCTTGGCCTGAAGGGAACATAGCTCCTTGCATGCCAGGAAGGAGAAGCCCAGTGAAAAACTGTGAAGGTGACTGCCAAGGCAAAAAGAAAACAAGAGAATATGCATCAAAAAGTTAAAAGATCTCATGGAGCACTTTGGACATTAGAGAGAAAGATGGAAGAGAAAAGAATGAAAAGAGAGAGAATGTAGAGTAGTATTTCTTGTTTTCAACTTCTCCATTAAAAAATGCAAAGAATTCAGCACTTCCCTCTTCCCCTGGTGAGATCTCAAAAGCCAAATTCTGGAAAACAGCATTCTGGATTCCATAGCCTATCCATATTTTTAAATCCAAAGGTATCCTGAATGCTAGCTCTACTTATTAGAGATCAACAATCTTATTGAAAACATTCTCCACTTAAAGGGCTTCTCAGTCTAAATGTGAATTCTCAAGACAGAGAACCATGCAAGGACAAAGCAAGACCCTGAAATATATGGAACAAGTCTTGTTCATGTATAGTATTTTTAAATGAGCAGCCAAAGTTGTAGCAATCGTTTCTAGATTTACATCCATACATCTAAATTAGCTTCTGTAAAATTGTATATAGATCTATACCATCTTTTGTCTTCCTCTTTTGTCCCTTCAAACTGTAGTATAAACTCTAAAGCGGACAAGGAAGGAAGGAGGGAGGGAGGGAGGGAGGGAGGGAGGGAGGGAGGGTGGAAGAAAGGAAGAAAGAAAGAAAGAAAAAAGGAAGGAAGGAGGGAGGGAGGGAGGGAGGGGGGAAGGAAGGCCTAATTTTTTATAAGAACCCAAATGAAACATCCTGGCCTCACCAATGTGAATTGGTGAGGCCCTTGGTCCCCTAATGGCATTTTGTCTGACCCTATGAAGAAGGCTTAGAAGCTGTAAATTTATCACACAGTCTAGATGGTTTGGAATTGGGCTTGTGATGATTCTGAATGATCCCATGAAAATAGAAATATGTTAGTAAATTATTTACCATTTCCTCAGAGCTGAGCACTGCACCCTAGAACACCAATCAGAAAATGTCGGTTTGAGGGAGCAGAATGGAATAAATAAACATTAAAGGCATGGAAAAGATGATTTCTAAAAAGTTTACAAAAATGGTGGTGGTGGTGGTGGTGATGATGATGATGATGATGATGATGATGATGATGATGATGCACAGTCTTATTACGATAGATACAGGGGTGTCCATAGGTGTTCCAAAATCTACAGGATTATGGGCATGGAATAGTGATCAAAGCTCTACGCCTTTAATAATGAAGCCAAGCCCACCATCCTGCAGATCTTTTCACACACACACACACCCTTCAATAAAACCTTTGTGACAGGCTAGGTCTGGATCACACACTACAAGAAATGCACAACTTTATTATTATATGGAATATTAACCGGATATTGAAAGCCCAACAGTTTGTTTCTCTCCACTTTTATACTAAACATAATCAAGACAGGGAAATCTTGATTTATTTCCTCATTACTTGCTATCCATTCCATTCCACAATCCCCTTCTCATGGATGTTGTCTGGGGAAGAGCAATCTGGGGTGACACACAACCCTCCCACAACCACATCCTACAGAATATCCCAGTGTGATTAGGCTAAGATTTTTGGCCCTTTTGTTGGATTTCGCCTTATTCTGATTTTTTCTAAGAAAGCAATAGCAACAACACTAAGACCTATATATTGCTTCACAGTGCTTTACAATCTTCTCTAAATGGTTTGCAGATTCAGCCTATAGCTGAATAATCTGGGACTTCATTTTACCAACCTCAGAGGGATGGAAGGCTGAGTCAACCTTGACCCGGTGAGCATTGTACCCTTGGCAGCCAGCAGAATTAGCCTGCAATACTGCTGTCTAACCACTGCACCAAGGGCTCTTAAGAAAAAGTTGTGCCTCAAAAGCAAAACTTCTAAACCACTTTTTCCATTAAACCCCTCAAGCCCCTACCTCCCAAAAAAGGGGCAATTATATGTAAAATTGAAGGACCCTCTGGAAGTGCTCTGTGGCCCTTAAGAGTCCAAATACCTTTCCTAAAAGAACCTAAATCTTCTTACGTTTATAAAAAATAAGAATGTTTTTTGGTAGTGCTAAATAGTTGTCACCACTGTGATTTCATGAGATTAGTCCAAAGACAATCATGTTAGTTCAATACTGCTTTGAAATGGATTAGTGAATGATAGATAAATCCATTTCCAGTGAAATCAAGATCTGAAATGGATTTCCGCTTGAGTCAAGCCTGTTAGCAACACCATTTATTTATTTATTTAGACTTCTATACTGCTTCATAGTGCTTTACAGCCCTCTCTAAGCGGTTTACAAAGTTATCATATAGCATATTGCATATTAGCATATTGCATTAGCATTAGCATATTGCCCCCAACAATCTGGGTCGTCACTTTACCCACCTCGGAAGGATGGAAGGCTGAGTCAACTTTGAGCCAGTGAGATTTGATCTGCTGATCTGCTGAACTACCAGTCAGCTGAAGTAGCTGCAGTACTGCACTCTAACCACTGCGCCACCTCGGCTCTTTAATGGTACCCCAGTTCCTTATTTTTTAACAGAGTCCTAACCCTCCTGGAAGAAGATACCCTGCCAGATATGATGCTGAAGAAAAGAAGTCCATTGCACTGTCTTCCCAAGTGCATTTCACACATTGTAAGAATGTGGGAGAAAGTTGTTTTATACTATGCCATGCCACTGTTCCATTTCATTCAATCCCATTAAGATCAAAAAAGCTGATTGCTCCAGATGTTTCAGAGAGGTCACTTTCCTAGACCCACTTGCAGATGCTAGGAATTGAGACCTTGGGCATGGCAAAGCACATAATGGCAAGAATGCTGGATAGCCAGTGATCAGGATTACAATTGGACCGTTTTTCCTCCATTGGAAAAGGATTGAATGAAATTATCTTTACGGGAAACAGATTTCACAATTTATTCATACCCACTTCAGGCTATGGAAATTCCCAATAAATGATTGAATAAGCACTGCTGTTCCAGAGAAAACAAGCCAGACATCCACTTCAAAAAAAGCAAAACTATTCATTATGCAAAAGGGGGAAAAAAAGAGCCTGAAAATCTCAAACAGACTTTCTGTCTCACTTCTTACCTGTGGTCCCATCTGTGTAACTATAATTGGCAGCATCTGCAAGACAAGTAGTAATAATTGCATGTATGTTATGCCTTTAGTTAAGTACAGGTAAGACTGAAGGAGGAATTGGCTTTTTGGGTAGTTTGTCTTTTAGCTATTCAGCTATTCAGTACTTGTAAAACATGCTTCTATTCTGACCTTGCAATCCTTTGGCTCATTAGACAACCTTTCTTTAGATTCATTTTAAGTTACACTTTCCACAAACATATTTAAATTGACAAAATCAATGTAGCCAGTATAACGATTCTGCTTGCACTTTCTTCCCATAATGCTAATGTAATTCTCATTCTCTTGCACCTCAATTTTGTGTGAAGCAGCTGGTACTATTCTTCACTGGTTATACCAGGATGAAGCCTTCTCCAATCAGGTGCCCTCCAGCTTGCTTGACTCCAATTCCTACCAGCTCCAGCCATCACTGGGGGGAAATCAGATGGTTCGCTTCTCATCCAAGAAGCTTCTTCAGTTCCGAAGAAGCTTCTTGGTTAAGAAGCGAAATGTCTTCAGCGAAAAAGAGAAAGTCCAGTTGCTTCTTGAAAAACCACCTTTGGGACATGCAGAGTAATAGTGTGTGAATATACATCACATATAACAGTGATGGCTAACCTTTTTGCCATCACATGCCAAAAGCAGGGGGAACGGGGGGGTCACACGTGCATGTGCCCACATCCATAATTCTATGCGCCCCCCCGTGCATGCATGCGTGACCCCCCCCTGGTTCCCCCACTTTTGGCATGCGATGGCATGGTGGGGCCGGTAGGCCCATTTTTTGCTCTCCCCAGTTGGGAAATGGGCCGTTTCTGGCCTCCAAAGAGCTGCCAGGGGGGTGGGGAAGGCCATTTTCATCCTCCTCAGGCTCCTAGAAAGGCTCTGGAGCCTGGGGAGAATGAAAAATGGGCCTTCCCCACCCCACCATCCCCAGAGGCCCTCTAGAGGCTGGAAACAGCATGTTTCCTGACTTCCGATGGGCCCAGAAGGACCGAACATCAGCTGGCCGGCATGCACATGCGCTGAGCTCATGTGCCCACTGATATGGCTCCACATGCTACAGGTGGCACGCGTGCCATAGGTTCACTATCACGGACATATAGGCACAGATGATCACAGAAGCTGATTTAAGAGAATTAAGAGGTTATTTATGTTTACTATCCAATGTCTAAGTCTGGAAGGTAAGTATATTTGCTTCCTATGATTGCTGACTTAGTTAGTTTCTAAAATGGAGAAAGATGAACAGTGGAAACTGAGGAGGATATTAGCCAGCCTAGATTCTCATAGGAGTTATAAAATACTTACTGCTTGCCCTGGTGGTAGCTGCTGTGGTACAGTCATTCCCCCACCAACTAGAGGCAATGTTTGTAGTGTGGATAATATTCCTAGGAGAGTAGAAAGCTGCATGGGAAGTGGATTAGAACATGATTAGAAAGAAAGAAAGAAAGAAAGAAAGAAAGAAAGAAAGAAAGAAAGAAAGAAAGAAAGAAGGCAGCTTCCTTTGCGTTGTGACGTGATTAAAATCTTCAAAAAAAAACCATTTTTGTTTCTTTCTAGTGCCAAATATAGCCCAAGAAAAGGACAACAGTTTTACCACCATGATCCTGAGCAAGGTGTGTAAGGCTTCCCACTCACGCATGTCACTGATGTTTCAACTGTCAAGAAAAGTGTCAGGATTTTGGCACCAAAGTTAAGGATTACAGCCCGTTGGCTATTCTGCAACATCTAAAGGCTTACATATTCTACCAACAAAACAGGGCAAGAATCCTGTGATCTTCTAGGCATTATTAGATTCACATTCTAACTATCCCTGACAATAAATACTGGTGGTTGGAGATGGGGGCTCTTGGGGTACAGCTGGAAAAAAAATTGCTGCTTTACCTTTAAAAGGTAAAGGTTCCCCTCGCACATATGTGCTAGTCGTTCCCGACTCTAGGGGGCGGTGCTCATCTCCGTTTCAAAGCTGAAGAGCCAGCTGTCCAAAGATGTCTCTGTGGTCATGTAGCCGGCATGACTAAACGCCAAAGGCGCATGGAACACTGTTACCTTCCCACCAAAGGTGGTCCCTATTTTTTCTACTTGCATTTTTTACGTGCTTGCGAACTGCTAGGTTGGCAGAAGCTGGGACAAGTAACAGGCACTCACCCCATTATGTGGCTCTAGGGATTCAAACCGCTGAACTGCCGACCAACAAGCTCAGCATCTTAGCCACTGAGCCACCACGTCCCTCGAGTACCCTTTTAGTTCGGTACTAAATAAGAAACTAGAAAAGCCCCCCTCTGAATTCACTTATATTTTCTCAGTTGGCTGGTTCATTATAAAAAGTCCATTTTTTGCTCTACCCAGGGAATTATTTTAATTCACCTGGACCTTGCGAATTGATTCCAGTTGTGTATTCTAATATCATGGCTGCTCTTTTAACTACTTTTTCCAACTCCTGTGGAAATCTATCTCTTCCAGTGTTCTACTTGCATTTTTATTATCGCCTTTCTTATATCAGAATCGTCCCCATCTATGTTTACAGGATTTATTTATTGATTTTTCCCTTATTATCATTCATCGATTGATTATATGCCATCAAGTCAGTGTTGACTCTTAGCAACCACATCAATAGATTTCTCCTGGAGGATCTGTCCCCAACCTGGTACTTCAGGCCTTTTAGGAGCATCATAATCGTTATTGTATTAAACTATTAAATTTTAAATTATTAAAATTACTATGAAACCAAACCGTACAGATTCTAAAGCAATAGAACCAGAAGGGCCCTGCATAAAAATTCATCCTGAATGCCATCTGAGATGCAGTTTTACAAATAGAGCATAATCTCAAAGGCATCCTTTTGTCTTCTCGCCTTCAAAAACGGAGCTTGGGGACTCCTGTTTTGACTCTAAGAAGGCAAGAGGCTTAATGAGAAGAAACATCACAGCGTTTCTTGCCTCTTTTGGATTTTATTTACTCTTTTTATGCTTTTAATGTTTTATTTACTGTTTTTATGCTTTTAATATTTTATTTACGGTTTTTATGCTTTTAATATTTTATTGTACACCACCCAGAGATGGGCTGTTCTTAAATATGATACCATAGATCAGGGCTGTCAAAGTCCCGGCCCGTGTGCAGGATGTGTCATGCGCTGGCCACGCCCATGCCCAGTTTAGCGAAGGGGGGGGGAAGTCCGATACATCGTGTGATACCGTGACGATGTGAGTTTGATACCCTTGCCATAGACAGATGATAGGTAGATAAACAGGAAGACAAACAGACAGAATGTTTATAGGCAGCTTGGTCCCAAACCTTTGCAAATAATAATCCTTTCAATTGTCCATGGGAAGCAGTGCAGATACAAAACAGAATCACACATTCCAGGGTGGAAGTCCAATATTACTTGGATTTCCAAAGATGACAGTAGGGAAAATAGTTCTCATATTCAAACATTTCCTCTTTATTGAAAATCCATTACAGGCTGGATGTTGCCTTTAAGAAGGATCCTATAAAAAAACTCTGTGGGTTGCACAATACATACTGTCTGAGTTGTCACGAATACTGAAGAGATTCTCCATCATTTTGTAGTAATTGCCATGTTCTGCAGTCACAATTGCTGGCTAAGTACTTCTCAGAGTATCTACTATTAGATATTGCTAAAGACCCTTCTCTGCTTGTGGAGTTCAGTTTTTTCTTCAAGAAGTGATCCTATCCTGATTTTCTTGCCAAGAGGGCTTTAGTTCTTTGATTTGCAGAAGCAGTAAGAAAACAGCAGCATCCTGCAATGTTCCAAAATAAATTTCTCTAGTAGGTGGATGCATGAAGCTGGGTGAATTTAGGACCAGCCCTCTCAGACAAGTTTGGAGAATTTTGCTAATATTGAAAAGATAGAAAAACATTCTGATTTAAAAAAAAAAAAAGATACTGAAAGCAGAATGCTCAGGAATCTCCTTTCCTTTCCTTTCCTTTCCTTTCCTTTCCTTTCCTTTCCTTTCCTTCCCTTCCCTTCCCTTCCCTTCCCTTCCCTCCCCTCCCCTTCCCCTCCCCTTCTCCCCTTCCCCTTCCCCTTCCCCTTCCCCTTCAGCTCCCTACCTGCTTGTATCACTTGGACAAACTTGATATAAGAAATCTATAACATGGGGAAGTAACATTCTCACAGAGAAATGAAAATTGCTGAACCATTGCCTAGAAAGACTATATGTAGAGCTATCAGATATGGGTTACAAAATTTATATGACCATTAGCAGCACAGATTTATCTTTTGCTGCCATCCAGTTTGTTGGGATGTTTGCGGCCCAGATCTGCCAGTCATCTGATATACGAAACAAAGCATATACAATGATACACTTGCTTAGTGCAGAAAATAACTTACATAATTCATGTCTATCGGGAACACCTGATTCTGTGGTAGGCTGAAGACAGGAAAGTTCTGTAACACAAAGAATTTTTAAAAACTGATTCTTGCAAGAGTTTTAATGCAATTCTGTGCATGGCTATTCAGTTCAATTGGAATCACTTTTAGCAACCTGAGCCTGAAGTCATAAAAAAATAATTGCTAGACCTGGCATTAGTGCAATGCCAGTTCTTCCTACTTTGCACTTTAATGTTCAGATACAGAGAGCATATTTGCAAAGTAATATCTGGCAAATGAATCACAGATAGTTTTTCACAAAATAATTTTAATCCTTCATCATAATCAGACTGCAGAAAGTTAGCTGCCTACCAAGATATATAATTATTTGCAGATCTTGTGCTTGAGCTGTTTACCATACACATATAAGCTTAAGCTTGGAGGACAGCATCTTTTGATAGAACATTATCTATAATATTTGCAGAATAGTAATGGAAATTTTTTAAAAACCCTTTGACTTTAGAAAATTCTCCACTGAATTATAAATACCATCTTCTGGTTTGGTATGACAACCATAGCCTTGTGGTGGCGAATAAAATATCAGGAATTGTCACTTATTGTTATGTTACTATTCTTATATTCAGTGCCCACCTTTGTATAGCAAAGAGGGAGAGAGAATAGATGCACTTGATCAGTTTTGTAAACAATATTTTTAGTCCAGTTCATTTTTCTGCTGTCGATTTAACAAAACTGATAGCAGCAAAAAGCAAGAAGAAAGTATCTTTAACTGTTTCCCTCAGCTTCCTTCTCTGATGTAGGCAGCAGGGATCTCTCTATGCATTCAATACTCTAGTTCAGGGGTCTCCAAGCTTGGTAACTTTATGCCTGGTGGACTTTGACTCCCAGAATTCTCCAGCTAGCAAAGCTGACTGGGAAGCTTTGGTGGGAAGAGATGGTGAAAGCAAAACTAGCTGGGGAATTCTGTGAATTGAAGTCCACCAGGCTTAAAGTCGCCAAGGTTGAAGACCCCTGCTCTAGTTGTTCCTGCTAATCTTTTTTCATTCTTTATTTCAAACCAAAATCAATGGCAAATCTACGACACGTGTGTCAAAAATAACATGTCACCTTTTAGGTGACACGACTGCAATTCACTAATACCTGGCAGCAATTATTCTTGAAAGCATGCCCTATTCTCCCACAATTTTCAGAGGCTGCGGAGCCTGTATGAGAATCAGGGTGTGCTCTCATATAGTCTCTGGAGTCTCTGAAAATCATATGAAAACAGCCTGTGTTTTTTTCCCCCACAGTTTTTGGAGATTGCAGGGGCCGCAGAAGATCATTCTCCAAAGCCCTTCAAGAAAAAAAGGCCCCATGCAACCCAGAGAAGCTTAGGGTAGGCCAAAAAGGGCCTGTCAACAGAAAAAGAACATAGCCTGAAGTGGTAAGCAGTGCATGGCAAATCCTGGGCAAGGATTGTCCCTGAACCACAGGGACAATTATGCCTTGGGGAATGGTGTGAGGTGGTCTTTTTGAGTGGCAGTTGTGGTAGGGCTGAAGATAAGACCTCGGCTTCTACATAAGGGCCAGTCCACTGGTGGGTTGGCCCCAGTTTGGACCGGTTTGCAAGAACTGGTAGTAAAACCGGTGGGAGGTCCCGCCCACCACCCGGATGTTGTCATTGGTGATCTGTGCATGCAGATCCCATTGCGAACCGGTAGTAAAGGTAAGTTGAACCCACCCCTGGTCCAGTCTCTACATTCCCGCCAAATGCAGGGTGGCCTAGATTGGATAGGAAATAAAAAAAAATGTTTCTCTTTTATTTGGCAGGATCTATGTGACACACCAACAGAATCAAATTAGGCATTTTTGTCCTGCCAAACCTCAAAGATTCATCATCAATGGTCAATGGAGTTCTGAATTCCTATGTTTCAGCCCACTTCTAACTTAGAAGAGGATTTTAGTTGGCGAGAGCCCAGATAGCAAGCAGATGGATGCTGAGTTTTGGTTTTCTCTTTCAGTGCTATTCAAAAGATAATGAACAAAGTGATGATATATTAAATTTTTTTTTTTAGCTTACCACATTTGGAGGCTGATTTCCCGGTAGGTTTGGATCTGGAACCAGCTTTGCTGGAGGCAGTACAGCTCTTTGCCGGGACTACAATTTAGAAAGGAATACGGTGAATACCGGTAGTTGTATTTGTTAAATTTATGCTTTGTCTTCAGAACCCAAAGCAACATACATTGCACTTCTTTTTCTAGTTTTATCCCCTCATCAATAACCTTGTCAGGAAAGTTGGGTTCAGAGATGGTGAAAGTCCCAAAACTACCGATGGAAATTCTATGGCTAAAAGTGGACTAGAACTTTTATCTTCTTGAACTTAATCCAACATCTTAACTACCATACCACGCTTGGTTAGATACTGAAATTTAATTTAAATTAATTGAAAGGCTCAGGGTAAAATTTTGTGATTATTTACATTCCAAAAGAAAACAGTCCTCTCGGAGAACAAAAAGCATACTTCCGCCCCAAAGTCCTGATTCTGATCTGTATTTTTAATCTAATTAAAATTTTAATTGTAATTTTAATTAGTATTATACATGATAGCAACTGCCTTTGCTAACATGATTTCAAAGACTATTTTCATCCTCTCCCTCTTAGTCTAAGACCACTAGTGTCTTTGTACATAAGACTTTCAATATTCAACAAGGTTTTCAGTTGTAAGAGTCTCCAGTAATAGAGCATTTTACAAAGAATATTACCAAAATGCTACAAATTGTGTCAGTGGTTCAGTTTCAGTGAAGGGAAAGGAAACAGCTCTTTCACTACACAACCCTCTGTCAGCCATAATTATATGAAGAGATTTGTTAGTCAGGCTGGGGATTGATGTAAAATCCAAGGGGGAAAAAAGGAACGATAATGAGAATCTCAGGTATAATAGCATTATTAAAAAATTATAACAACTTTGAAATAGTTCACATGAGCACTAATTGCTGCAACTTGAAGCAAGGATTAAACCCTGATTAAATCATAATAATGGGCCACTCTTTTATTCATCTCAGAAACCCTCTGGATAATGCAAGCATTTATGGCAAATAAAAAAAAAGTGGGGGGAGGGAGCATATTCCATTAATACTTTCTAAGAAAGTTTGCAGATTGAAACCGGGAAACACTATCCTCCCTGCTCCCAGTGGATTTCTCCCTCCGGAATAATAGAAAATGCTTGGGACTCAGAGGCATCATTTGCAACTGGAGAGTCCTTTGGCTTGAACGACATCTCCATTTGCAAACAGCAGAGATGGGAGAGGTTGAGAGAAGCTCAAAGGTGGTTCTGGCAAATGTAAACTACATTGTAGGCAATGAGGAATTGCCTTCTCAGGCTCCTCTTCCTCCAACTGTTGTTTTGTCATTTTTCCTGACTCTCAGAATATACCTAATTCCTTGTTCCATTTGGAATCAGGCTTTCCTTCTATGGGTGCTTATAAGACCTTTTGCTATCTTAGATTCTAGGCCATGGGTGTCCAACCTTATCAACTTTAAGACTTGTAGACTTCAACTCCCAGAATTCCCCAGCCAGCCATGTGTCAGGGTTCTAAGTAACAACCCCAAAGCAAGCAAAACTCTGAGGCCTAGAGTTTCCTCAAAGCACAATTTTATTTGGGATGTCATATTGGCACAGCTGGTGAAAACCTGACTCTGAAGGACCCAGAGTTTTCCCCACCCAAATCAAAACCCAGGTCACATGTCCATCATGTGGTCTAATCAGGTCGCAGTTCCAACTCCGGCTGGCTTTGGTCCATGCCCTTCCAACACCTGGTAGAGCATCCTTGGCTCCCACAGGAAAGAATCCTATTTTGGCTACACAACCCCCGGCTATCTCTACCTCCCCCCTCACGTTCCCACAGCTCCTCCTGGCCTTGCTGTGGCAGCCCTGAAGATGCTCCTGAAATGATTTCGGGACTGACACCATGCTGGCTGGGAAATTCTGGAAGTTGAACTCCACAAGTTTTAAAGTTGCCAGGATTGGACATCCTATTCTAGGCTAAATTGATTGCCATTAGATTTGGGTTTTTTTAACTATTACCTAACGAACATATAATAAGTTTATTTTCTTCAAGCCAGCAATAACATTAATCAATAGCTACTTGCCAATTTTATCTCATTTTTATTGTTTGTGTTGTTTTTATCCCATTGTTTCCTATTTCGCTTTGTTTTTTAAAAATGTGTTTACTTATTTTTATTTATTCAGATTGTGTTATTTGGCTTCATATCATAAATAGAATTGTTGTTATTTTATAGCACTATATATCAGAACAATATATTAAACAATGTTAAAATGTGACCTTTTTTAAACCAACATGTTTCCATTAAGAGAAATAAAAACGGCAGTACCTGAGCTTGCTGTGGAGTGTTACCGACGGCTATATACCTTTGCAACAGGCGCAATATCTGGCAAATGAATCACAGATAGTTTTTCATACAATGATTTAATATTTCATCATAATCAGACCACTGTAAATTAGCTGCTTGCTAAGATATATAATTATTTGCAGATTTTCTTGTGCTGGAGCTGTTTACTATGCACATATATACTTAACAGCTCCTTTTGATGGAAAATTATCTATTATGTTCTCAGAATAGCAGTGGAATTTTTTTTTTTTTTGACCTTCTCAGTTTAGAAAATTCTCCTGTGAATTATAAATACAATAGAATACAAACAGCATGATTTAAAAAAATTCTTAAAGGACAATAGTTTTGATCAGTACCTTTGATTATACAGAATTTTCAACAGTAATTATAACAAATAAATTAAATATTTTTTTCCAGGAAGTGAAGAAAAAAATCCTTAAATTCTGCATATGCTTATTCTGGCTGCAGTTTTGCTCACCAGCTGCTTACATTCCACGAACAGCTATGGGATTAATGCTGGAAGTCTAAAATTACTCCATTGAACGTATAAAGATTTACTTTTGCGTAAACATGGCAAAGACAGCACCGTACATCCGTCTTTCCCAATATGACATGTCCCACCTGTGTGGGCCTCTAATTCCAAAACCTTCCCAACCAAAATGCTCATTGCCATACTGATTTAATTGCATGCTTGGAAAATTGCCGTTCACAACATCTGGAAATTGCCACCTTGGAGAAAGCTGATTTACAAGATTGCAGTCACAATTATTTCCTTTTTAACCTCCCCCCCCCCTTTGTCTTTCCATGGATAGAACAGAGGATTTCTTAAAAAGGAAAGGGTGGAAATAATGGAAAGTAATGCCATGTCTGGAGACAGCTCTATCATGAGATAAATTGAACCAGTGAGAAGTGACATGACTTTATAAGAATTGGTGGAGAATTGGTGGGAGGTAGGAGGATCTGGTTCATGGGGCACTTACATTCATGTGGTGAAAGTCCCATTGAAATAAGTGTCTTGTTACACTGATACATACTCCCTTCTAATGTACTTCAAGATTACCCTGAACTTCTGAATGGATAACACGTTTGGGTAATTTGTGAGAAAGTTGATAAAAATTCTATGGAAATATTCCAAATTGTCCTGGACTAGTTTTGGCCTTTTTGTGGCTACTCAAAAGTCGTGGTGGTGCAGTGGTTAGAATGCAGTACTGCAGGCTGATTCTGCTGATCACCGGCTGCCTGCAATTTGGCAGTTCAAATCTCACCAGGCTCAAGGTTGACTGAGCCTTCCATCCTTCCGAGGTGGATAAAATAAGGAGCCAGATTGTTGGGGGCAATAGGGCTGACTCTCTAAACTGCTTAGAGAGGGCTGTAAAGCACTGTGAAGCAGTATATAAGTCTAAGTGCTATGCTATTGCTACTCTGCCTTCTCCATGGCAGCAATACAGCTGCCTCCATTCCTGATTCATCTGCTTCAGATGGCTATTGCAAAGACAAGGGGAAGCAGGGAAACACAAAGGAGCGGTGCAGAAAATTTTTGGCAGAGCTTTACCAATTCATCTTGAAACATTGGATCATTCTCTTGGTTCCTTTAGAGAACTGATTGAACTGATTTGAGAGAAAAGGTACCAGGTCTGATGAGGGTCTCCATTACTCTTTTGTTTGGCCAATAATGAGAGATAAGGTGAGCTGAAGTAGGGAAGGTGGCTAAGGAAACTAGCACCTCAGACCAAAGTAGAGGAACCTAGGCCATCATAATAATGTGTCAACATTTTCAAGATAATTAAACAATTCAGAACATGCAATGTATGAACATGCAAACACACACACTGCTTTGGCAACACACAGGCCTGCAGCCTCCCCCTCCCCCGCTGTCACCCCCATGTTATTTACTTCTTTGCTGCTGCTTGTAGCCAGAATCCCACCAATGTGGTTGATCTGAGGAAAAAGAACATAAATTCTAAATGAAGCATACCATAAGTCTTAATCTTGTGCAATTTAGTCTCCACCTAAGTCATTATTCAAGCTAAGATTTGCTGCAGTAGCCTCTTACAAAGAATCCTCCTAACACTTAACATGGTCTATATCACCTAGGAGGAACAATATTATGCCATTCTCACAGATATGTCCAAAGCTAGGGAGCTACAAAAATAAGACTTCCATTAACCACCCACAAAGAAATCATCATCAGAGAAGTCAAACCTCACTTGCATTCTTTGAGTGCAAAAAAAATATGATATACATTGTTTACCAGGCACTTCCTTATATCGGTACATATAAATACTCTGGGGAGTTATTTGCACACTCCCAGCAATATTAAGGTTGTATTGGTTGCCAGAGAAACATTAACATAACATATGATTCATTTCACAATGAGTATCCACTCCTTTTCTGGTGGTTCTTTAAAAGCACAGTGGTAAAACAGAATCATCGAGTCTTAACTATTCTCAGCTTTCCTCAATGTGTTAAATTACCAACACATCACCAAAACATTTTAATGTAGTACTGAGAAATTCTCCTGGGATTTCCAACACTAAGACAATTGCCAGTTTGAAAGACACCAGAAATTCATGGCCAGAGAGGCTCTTTGCTCCCGCTATTTTTCAGATTATTTTCCTAGAATAGTGCTCAGGAAAGGTATTAAGGTGTAAATTGCTGTGAGAAATAAAATAATTTCCTAATCAATGTCCTTTCCCAGGCCATTCTCTATTTTCCTTTCATCCATTTGCTTCAGTTAACATTTGATCAGAGCAGCTGCTAAGAACCAACTCTGCTTCTCTTTACATAGCCACAAAGATGGTAGGCATCTTGGAGGCCAACTTAAAGTGATCCTACAAAGCTTTTAACTTTGTTCTTTGAGAAAAGAAAATTGGGAGACACTGATCTAGTCCTACAAATATATAGAATAAAAAAAGTCAAGTCACCTGGTATCTTATATGGACTCACATGTTTGAGGTTTTCTCAGCATATGGACATTGTCTGCTGTTGGTTTCTTTTATCACTAACTATTTTCTCTCCCTCTCTATATCTCTCCTTTTCTCTCTTTTCTTTTTACCCTCTTTCTCCTTCACTCTATCCACCCCTTGGTTATAGTTCAGCTTAACATTATGTATTTTGTATCTGTTCTAATTCACACTTCACTGTGTGTTTGTAACAGAGTCAATGTTCAATATATATAAATATACTTGGTAACTTTCTTAAAGGATGTTAAATAAGTTTAACACAGCCCTTCAAATATTTTTTTCCCAGTTTCTTAGTCTTGCCTCCAGGGCACTTAAAACATTAAAGGGGAAGATAGGGAGGGTCTGATTCAGTCTCTCTTTTTCCTCTCAGTTTCTTTTTATTCCTCTCAGTTTCTTTTTATTCCTCTCCCCCCACCCCAATTTTATCTCAACAAAATAAAAATGCAAGAAGTATAGTCTTAGAACACTGAAGCCAGTTAGTACATAGAACAATTGGAAGGGGCCCCAGAGATCTTCTAGTCCAACTCCTTGCTCAAGCAGAAGACCGTAAATCATTTCAGACAAATGGTTGTCCAGTCTCTTTTTGAAAGCCTCCAGTGATGGAGCACTCACAACTTCTGAACGTAATATATTATTTTTGTTCTCATTTTCAATTCAGCAAGCAGAATATCTTATTACTTTCAACCTAGAAACGTGTACATAAACTCATGCACAGACATTGAACAAATAGTAGAGTATTATCATTGTTTGGATATTTCCCAATGCACCAGACCTTTCACATGTGAAATCTAAGGAATCTACTTGACTATAAGAGTATGATTTCCTCATGTCTCCTTCAAAAGAGAAGGTGGGGGATGATTTTATACATTTTAACCCAAGTGGTTAAGATTGTTCCAGGCTGCCCAGAAGGCATATATATATATATATATTGCCTGCAGAAAGCTATCTGAAAGAGAAACAATTGCAAACTTCCTCCTCCAAACATCATTAAGAACCCACAAAATCTTGAAAAAGCTTAAAATTCAGCACATGCCTTGCCCCCAGTTCCCCTTCCTACAACAATGTAAAATAAAGGCATCTATAGTTCTCTCCCTAAGATGTGTGGAGAAGAGAAATATCCCAGAATAGCCTTCAGAAAACTGAAATTCTATTTAAAAATGTTGGTAATTGGACATTTTTACAGCTGTTACTACATGAGATTTTGGTACCTCATGAGAATAGGTAAAATCAGATCAAGAACTAAATTACTTTACACAAATTAAAATCCCAAATTTTGAAAGATGGGGGAGGGATTTGGGGCTTGTGCAAGCTTGGATTGACAGAGAACAAGTTTGTTTGGCATCAGGGCGAAACTTGGCTCTATGCTTCATGAAATTCATAATACACTTTCAGCTTGCTAAGAAGGTACACCACCAAAAGTAACGCATGAAAAAATTTAAAGGTTACTTACTGGTATGGAGAACGTCAGCCCCAAAAGGGAAAGAAGTAAAATTATAATCTTCATATTTCAAGTTGGTACCTGTAAGAAGGAATCAGAAATTTGTTTTTTTTTCTCTCTAGTATCTTATAAGCATCATTATTCACAATTATCAACCTTGACATTACAAGTATCTCTTACCCCACAATTCTCTTGCAGATGTAAATAGAACAACAGTTTGGTGCCTAGAGTTTCATTAAAGCTCTTCCCTCAGTAGCTGTAACCCTTCTGAAGGGTATCTGTCCCCCTTGCATGAATTTAAACTCCTATTCAGATGGGTAGTCATCAGAGCAAAACCCACAGGTGATAATTTGTGTATCATGCAGTACCCAACATCTTATTATCGGTAAATATCATTATGTCGTGGAATGTCTGTGGTCATGGAGGGATTTTTTTTTCTTTCTGAGAAGGAATGGAATAATATATTGAATGGGCTAAACAAAATCGAGCCCACTTTTTTCAGGCTCAGAGTAGTTGAACAATAGCATAATTTGTAGTCTAAAAGCATCTTGTACATACTGGGATCTCAGACTAGATCAGACAGGAACAGAAGGTAACAACTTAAAAATGAGCGGGATTCAGCCAGTTCTGTCTGGTTCTCACAAACCGGTAGCAGCGACTGTGGTATGCCCCGCCCACCCACCTGGACGTAATTTTGCCGCGTTTTGGAGGCCGTGAGCATGTGCGGAAGGTGAGTGAGAGAGCAAAGAGCATGCAAAGAGCATGCACGGAAGACTGAGCATGCATGGAAGGTGGCACGCACGAGCAAAGTGACCGTGCACACCCGCTCACATTTGCGAACCAGTAGGGAGGGTAAGTGAATCCCACCTCTGAAAATGGCCATCCACTTACTGTTTAGATACCCCAATGTCTGATTTCCCCTGTACTGCATTTATTTTAAAAAAATCATATACACAACAATTTGCTTATTAGGGGTCACCCCTTCTTACTTTACCTTACTTCATGCCTGCTAGACTAACAGGTTGACTTTATATCTACTTCATGTCTACTTTATGCCTACTTCGTGCCTGCTAGGCTAACAGGTTGCAGATGTGAAGAAAGGGTTTGGTAAAGGAAGTAAGAGCTCCTTGCAATCCCTCCTGTCCACCTGTTATCTATCAGTCAGTCAGTTTTGCATTTAATATAAGTTTAGCACTCTTTCAAAAGAGTGCTAAATTAATATTCAGAAAGAAATCCAAGTGATCGGAGTGGCGCAGTGGTTAGGATGCAGTACCGCCTGCTAGCTCACTGCTCAGTGCCAGGAGTTCTGAATGGCTCAAGGTTGACTCAGCCTTCCATCCTTCCGAGGTCGGTAAAATGAGGACCCAGATTTTTGGGGTGGATGCCGTAAACTGCTTAGACAAGGCTGCAAAGCCTTGTGAAGCAGTATATAAGTCTAAGCGCTATCAGAGCAACTTAGCTGTCAAGCAGTTTGAGAAATGGTGAGATTGTTTATCCTAGGCAGTTTATCTATAGCCTCCATCACACTTTAAAGTAAGTGACTGGTTGATGTTTTCTCTGTCAGCAGGTAACACTCAGAGTGAGGGAAGCCAGGGGAATCTACTCCTTTTACTTAATGTATTCTGCAATAAAACTGTAAGGACAGCACCACTTGCCGGCCTTGTTCCCGAGACAGAATTAAGCTTGATAGTGGAGCAGGAAGATAGTATGTGAACACAGCCCTCTGACTATGCTCTTGGAGCAAATATAAATGTTCATCTATGAATAGTTACATCGATTATTCTACGTCTAGGAAACTTCAGCATGGATTAGATTTATATACTGCTTCACAAGGCTTTGCAGCCTTGTCTAAGCAGTTTACAGCATCCACCCCAAAAATCTGGGTGTAATTTAATAAACATTTTACTGGATTTATTTTATATCCTACTATTATTTCAACCTTTCTTGCAGTGTTTTAATAGCAACTCTTGTTGCTTTCCTTGGACTAAATTCTATTTTAACCTCTGCAGATCAGGCAACCCAGCTGGGATCGTCAGAGACTTTTCAAAGCATTCTTTTTACCACCTCTTCAGCCAAGAGGTTGCAGAAAAAAAATGCTTTGAAAAGCCTCTGACGATCCCAGCTGAGCTACGTGATCATCAGAGGCTTTTTAAAAAAACTTTTAAAAGCATTTTTTCGTCAGAAGAGGTTGTAGAAAAAATGCTTTTAAAAGTAAAAAAAAAAAGCCTCTGATGATCATGTGGCTCAGCTGGGCATAGTGGGGGTGGGTGGGACGCAGGGATTTTTGCTACCGGTTTTCCGAACCACCCGCCGCCATCGCTACCGGATTGGGCGATCCAGTCCAAACCGGGAGCATTTCACCCCTGCTGTGTATACTATCTCTATGTCTGTGTCACAAGACAAGCATGGACAACAGACTCATATGCATTACAGTCATCCAATTTTTTTTCATTCTTTACCTTCTCCAGCAAACTTGGACAGAATGGACGGGTGGGTGGTTGGTAGGGGAATGAAAGCAAGTAAGCTTCCCCTTCAGTAACCTGTTCACACATTCCTGGTTTCCCACTGTGGGAAACCGACACTTTTGAGCACAATCTCTGGGAATGAATAGAAAACATCATTTCATTTACTTTAAGCTTGTCTCACCTCTGCTCAGAATTGCTACTTTCTTTTGCTAATGAGTTGATCAAGTTGGAGAAAGGAGGGTAAATATTGGCAGGGAAGAGAAATCAGTGAAGCTTTTTCCTTATTTCCATTGATAGAAACCAAGGATCTTTTGCCCCGTTTATTAGCTGGCAGGTGAGAAAAGCAGATTAGACCCATGGTCCCATCATCCACACTTTTTGTGACGGAAAACAACATATGATCTGCAATTCCAGGGACTGCCATTGGCAAGATGGTCAAAACAGTAGCAACGGAGCAATCAAATCAGTGGTGGTTACTACTGGTTCTGTGGGCGTGGCTTGGTGGGCGTGGCAGGGGAAGGATACTGCAAAATCTCCATTCCCACCCCACTCTGGGGCCAGCCAGAGGTGGTATTTGCCAGTTCTCTGAACTACTCAAAATTTTCGCTCCCAGAACCTGTCAGAACCTGCTGAATAGCACCCCTGAATCAAATGTATGTTGGTTTCTAATAAACCTGATTTCTGGTTTAGTATTGAATCTTGATCAGGCTATTCATTTTTTTTTCTTCTTCTTGCCTTCTCACCTTTACCGCTCCATCTTTCTTAGTCTTAATGAACCTCCCCATCCACCCTCCAAAAGGACCGTTTTAACAAGTTCTTTCTTGTATCAATCCCACACCTAATCTGATAATTGGGTAAGTGGCCATCCCATTAAAATTAATGGTTATGCAGAGCTAAATTGTCTTTGAGACTATAAAACAAAATTGTAATAGAGATGAATGCAGCATCAGCAATATAGAAAGCAGGGTTAATTTTTTTGTGATAACAGAGTGGAAAATGACAGCTCAAACTAATGGTGTGTAATTTCACTTCTCCACCTCTTCTGTAGAGTTCAGAGAAACAAATATTTCCCTTCTAGGTTAAGAACTGCATGTAATAAATGAATTATTTCAGTAAGCAAAAGCACGATTCATAACAGACTTAGCGTAACTATATATAATGGCGAAAACCAATCAACACATCTGATTCACAAGGTACTCCTAATCCCCTACTGATCTCTGAAAATAGTTTTGGTAGTGTTTTGCCAGTTAAGAGCTTCCTTTCCTATATGTCTAATGACTACAAAAATAACTCCAAATCCATCTTGATGCAGAGCTCAGTCATCAAAAATCAGTGTGTCTGAAATCAAGAAAATTCCTGTCGCACTGGGGAGAAGATATTACCCTCCCAAACAGAAAAAAATTGTTTAGAAACTGCTTGGGGCTCTAAAAGTCTTATCCTTCTCTTTCCAGGTTGCTCCACAAGAACAGCATAGTTTTGCCCCAATATCCATCCATAGTTTTTCCAATTCATTTTACCCTCTGTCAGGGGTGAAATCTAAATTTTTTTGCTACCAGTTCTGTGGGCGTGGCTTGGTGTGACGTGGCTTGGTGGTCATGTGACTGGGTGGTCATAGCCAGCATGACGTCATTCACGTCACTCTGCTGTGCATGGGGCGCCTGGAGAGAGAGAGAGCAAGTCAGCTGCAGAAGGAGGCTGCAATGGGGTTGTTTTGTTTACCGAGGTGGTACTTCGGGAGGGCAGGCGAACGTCTGCAGCTAACAACTATAATGAATATGTCCACCTGCCCTCCCGAAGCACCACCACAGCGAACAAGACAACCCCATTACTATGGATGCATAGCTTGTCAGGGCTGAGCAGGGAAGCCCTGCTTGAGTGGGGGGGGGCAGTAAGCTGCTAGCTCCTTCCCCGCAGCCCTGCCATGCTTGCCTGCCTTCCACGTGGGCTTCTGCTTGCCTGCCTTCGCAAGCTGGCCACCGGGACGCCAGGAAGGCAGCATGGAAGGCAGGCAAGCATGGCAGGACTGCGGGCCGTGGATCGGTTCGGGGGCGTGGCCAGCCAGCCATTGCTCCCGGTTCGGCGAACTAGCCTCAATCTCTACTACCTACTTGCCCGAGCCGATCCGAACCGGGAACATTTCACCCCTGCCCTCTGTTCTACATAAGGTGGTTCTGCTGTCCAATAGTTGGGATTTGGAAGTGTTGTTTCTAGATAAAGAGTCTGTTCAGTCTCGTAGTAGATTAAGCTACCACATATGATATAGGATGGGCAAGTGAGATAGAATTTTCCTTTAGTCCCAAAGCTGCTTTTTCAAAAGACAACTGGACTTTGTTTTCCCTTGAAGACATTTCGTTTCTCATCCAAGAAGCTTCTTCAGTTCTGTCTGAATGGTGGAGGATGGAAGGTTTTATATGCAGTTATCTGGTCGTTATCCCTCTTTCTGAGAGTCCTTGAGGCCACTTGGAGATTTATCTGTGCCCACAGGGTCACCTTAATAGTGCAAATGGGTATGGAATCTTCTTCCAACTGTTGAAAGGACTGTGTTGTAAGAAGGTTCCATACACATTTGCATTATTCAGGTGACCCTGTGGGCACAGATAAACCTCCAAGTGGCCTCAATGGCTCTCAGAAAGAGGGATAACGACAGATGGCTGCATATAAATCCTTCCATCCTCCACCATTCAGACAGAAATGAAGACGCTTCTTGGATGAGAAGTGGAACATCTTCAAGGAAAAACAGTCCAGTTGCCTTTTGAAAAAGCACCTATGAGACAACCATGACCTGGGTGATTGA